AAAATCTTTATCTAAATATAATTGCTTTATTTCATTAGAATACTTTGTACTTTGCTTTCAAATTTTTTTTTTTTTTCTACAAAGATAACAAGGAAATATTTTAAATTTTTTTTCTAGAAAGATGCAAAAGAAATATTAATTATTTAGGGTAAATATTTTGAATTCATAATTGATGAGGCTGCAATTATACTATTTTTAAAAGTATTTCAAACAAATGATAGATAGATAATTTGACGAAGTAAAACATTTCGCCCAAAAAATTTTCACTTCTTTTTTATGCTAATTTTTTTATACCAATCATTTCTCAATTTTTTTTTTCGTCAAAAAATTTTTAAAACATTAAAAAAAAGCATTATTTATTGATTGCATTTTGTTGCTTATTACAACTATTCTCATTTCTTTTTATTTTCTCTTTAATTGCGTTTATTTTCATTTTTTCTTTTTGTTTTTTTTGAACCAAATTTAATAAAAAGTCATTTTTGTTATCAATAATTATTTAATGAATAAAACTGAAGATAAGTGATAATTTAATTTTGAATAGCTCTGATAATAATGAATTTGATTTGAGAGAAAATGATGCTTTGCTTTTCTTTTTCTTCTTCTAAATTGCATATTAGCAGATAAAGAATAAAATTTGAAATTTAAAAAAATTAAAATGAATGAAATTATACTACGACAATGTGTGAAAATAAATATTAATAAATGATAAAAATAACACAGAAATGATTGTAGTGATAATAATTAAAGAGAGAGAGAGACAGAGAGAGAGGGAGAGGGAAAGAGGGAGAGAGAGAGAGAGGGAGAGGGAGAGGGAGAGAGAGAGGGAGAGGGAGAGGGAGAGAGAGAGAGAGCTAAGTAAGATAATATCATTTAATGTTTAATGTATATTCATATTTCTGACCCTAAAAAAGGGACAATAATTAATGATTGGAGTAGAAAATATAGATGACAATGATACAATTATACTTACTGCATTATGATGGATGTTGTGTTGACCTTTTCTTTTTTTTTTTTTTGTTAACAATTTATTCATTTGACCTCATTTATCCGTATCTTTTTTCTAAAGTATCATTTTGATACTTTCTTTGACAAATTTTTTTGTCTGACATAATTAAAAAGTTAAGTAAGATTAGATATTTCGAATAGATAAAATATATTTGAAAATAATTAAATAATAATGATTATTATCTAATTATCATAGTAGAAATAATTCAAAAAAAAAAAAATAATAACTAATAATAATTGTTGAGAATATCATTTTTGATCATGAATTGAAAATTTTTTCAATAAGTCCGGAAGAAAACAAAATTGCAAATGGAAGAATTAATATTATCAAGAATATAGGAAAAGAAGATAAAAGGTAATGAAATGAGTGAAATAGACAAACAAAACAAATGATAAGGTGGAAAATAAGTGATCATAACACTGATTACATTATTTATCATTTTTTAATTTTTCTTATCATTTCTTTATTCGTGCTATTTTTCAACGTTTTTTTTTTTTTTTCATCTTAATTTATAAATTTCAAAATGATATCAGTAATGATTTTATCATTGCTCACATATCATTATAAAATACAATATGGTTTTGGAAAAATGTTTGATTAAATTTTTATAAACTTTTTTGGTGTAAAAAATTTGCTCAATTTTTTGAAACTTGTGCTGTTACTTATAATTATTGAATTTGATAGCTCGTTGTGAGCAAATATTTTGATCTATGCAATCATTATTATTATTTTAAACTACAACATAGTTTAACATAATAGTTATAATCCATTCATAAGTATGAAATAATTACGATATATTCAAAAGTATGGTATAACTATAATATAATAAGGAATACGATATAATCATAATCAAAAGTATGATATAACTATAATATAATAAGGAATATGATATAATCATAATCAAAAGTATGATATAACTATAATATAATAAGAAATATGATATAATCATAATCAAAAGTATGGTATAACTATAATATAATAAGAAATATGATATAATCATAATCAAAAGTATGATATAACTATAATATAATAAGAAATATGATATAATCATAATCAAAAGTATGGTATAACTATAATATAATAAGAAATATGATATAATCATAATCAAAAGTATGGTATAGTTTTATAGTGTAAAAAATTTTTTGAATATATGAAATAACTTTTATAAATTAGTGTAAATTTTTTGCATCCTTTTTTTGCTGTTTTTTTTTTTCTTTTTTTTTTCGTTTTACAACAAATATATTTGAATTATTTTATGAATGAAAGCAAAATTAGAAATGATAATGAGATATTATATTGAAATATTGAAAGTTTTGTAAATAATATTTATTTATATGAATATTTTATTAAATTATCAAAATAAATGCTAGGCAGTTAGTCATTGATTGATTGATTGATTGATTGATTGATTAATTGGTCATTTGTTTGATCAATCTATTCATTTATTATGCTCTTAAAAAAAAAAACAATAATAATAATAAGAATAAAAGTTTTCGTTCTTTGAAGTGTTTTTTTTTCAGACATTTATTAATAAAAATATTTTTTTTTTTAAAAATTACACAACAAAAGTGATGAAAAATTGTCAATTAACAATTGAATAAATAAAAATTCCAAATGAGTAAATGCTAGAAAAAAATTTAATGCTTATAAATAAATAAATAAATTGCTAATTAATACTTGTGAATAATTATAAGCTAATGAATAATGCACAATTAGCAAATTACTACTAAATAAATGAATGAAAAGAGAGCTAAAATTAGCAAAAAGAAATTTCAAACTGGTTTTTAATTTGTCCTTTCATTTAGACTTTGTGGTGAGAATGTTGTAATATTACAAAAGAAAAATAAAAGATAATAAAGAAAAATAAAAGGTAAAAATTTTAGTTGGAAAAGGTAAAAAATTTTTGTTACAATAAAAAAAAAAAAAAAAAAATAGGAGCAAATATCAATATATTAAACATTTCTTTCATATCGAGTATTATTTTTGATAGGTTACTATTATTTTAATTATTAATTTGGGAAAAATCAATTTTAATTTTAGTTATAATCAAATTAAACTGTCCATTTGTTTTCCGGAAAAAAGTATAAAAAAAATTTGGATAATGAAATAAAACCAAATAAAAGACAAAATAAATAAGAGAAATAAAATTTATTCCTTAAATAAATATTTAAATATTTTTAAATTAGCATCAAAACAATTATTATTTAATTTATATTTCGTTAATGTTTATAAACACAAAAATGAATTTTTCCATATAAAATGATAATTATAAGCAATGGCGATTAATTATTTTCATAGAAAGATAATGATTATTATAAATATTATTTATTAGACTTTTTAAAATTTCTTTTTTTTTTTTTTTTTCTATAAATATCATTTATTAGATCTTTTTTTTTTTTTTTTTTTTTTTTTTAACAAAAAGATGTAATTATTATTTATTTTATGCCTTTTGTATGTATATGCATAGGCTTATTAAAAATATGATTGTATTTATTAAATTATAATTGTCAATAAATGAAATTTTTATAAGATAAATTGTAGTGAATTGAAAAATTGTATGAAATTAATGTGATTTCAAATTACTTATTTTTTAATTAATTTATCATTTTCGACTATAACTTAATTAAATTTATTTAGTAAATTCGAAATTATGCAAATAATAATTACAAGAAATTATTCAATTAAAGGAAAAAGAAAAAATGAGGAAATATGTTAATAAATTTTTAATTATAAAATTTAAATTTAAACTCTTAAATTTAAGACTAATTTTTTTTAATGTAATATTGTAATTAATTATTATTACTTTGTGTTTTTTTTTTTTTTTGTTTTATTTTAATGATTTGAATTGAAAATTCAAAAGAAAAAACATATGAAGAAAAGGTAAAAAAATATTTTGTAAACAAAATATTTGACAAAGAGAAATATTAAGCAGACAGGAAGAGAGATGATAGTAAACAGTTAGCTTTGTTTTTATCCGATCCAAAATCATTCACAGCAGCTTCTTTTACAAGTAATCAATTTCAGGAAAAGAGAGAGAGAGGGAAGGAGAGAGGAAGAGAGAGAGAGAGAGGGAGAGAGAGAGAGAGGGAGGGAGAGAAATTGTATCGCTTTTAAGTTTAACAATATGTGTTATTTCAGCGCTTCTAATATAGCTCTTTTATGAAACTTCATTAATTGATAGGAAAAAAAAGGTCGATATGTGCTCTATGTGTGTGTGTGTGTGTGTGTGTGTGTGTGTGTGTGTGTGTGTGTGTGTGTGTGTGTGTGTGTGTGTGTGTGTGTGTGTGTGTGTGTGTGTGTGTGTGTGTGTGTGTGTGTGTGTGTGTGTGTGTGTGTGTGTGTGTGTGTGTGTGTGTGTGTGTGTGTGTGTGTGTGTGTGTGTGTGTGTGTGTGTGTGTGTGTATGTATGTATGTATGTATGTATGTATGTATGTATGTATGTATGTATGTGTATGTATGTGTATGTGTATGTGTGTATGTGTGTATGTGTAATGTTTATTTAATTACTGATAATTCATATTGTTTTTCTTAATGCATTTCTTGCTATACTTTTAATATTATTATTATTGTCAATACTATTCTCATTATTATTATTATTACTATCAGTATTATTATTATCATTATTATTATCAATATTATTATGATTATTATTATTGTTATCATTATTATTAGTAGTAGTAGTATTTATGATCATTATTATTAATTAATTTATTAAAGCATATTAATTATCATTATTGTTATATTTATTTTTAAATTTTATGATAATATGTGAGCATTATGTATTGGCTAAACTTTCATTCAAATGTATATTTTATCAGAGTTACTTATCAACTACTAAATCATTTGTTATCATATATTTTATCGAATTTATTTGCATCGCAAAATCAATTATTGTTAATGATTAAAATGATATGATAACAGTAGAGTAACAATTCAGTGATAAGATGATATCTATTCATCATGTATACAATCTTTTATCCTTCTAGCAATTATGGCATAGAAGAGAGAGAGAGAGAGAGAGGAAGGGAAAGAAGGAGGGAGAGAGAAAATCAAAAGTTGATCGTATATTTCAATATGCTAATAATTTGCATCTTTTTTTCTTCTTCTCCCTCTATTTCTCCTTCTTCAAACACCTTCCTTCCATTTTGTCATCATCTAATTCAGCAAAAGTGTTTGTCCACTCCACCTCGCACCTTTCTGCTTCCTCTGTCGCATTGGTGGTCAGTGCAGTTGACCAGCAGATTAATGCGTCGTCCCCTGTCAACATCCGTCAACACATTGGTCCATGTGGTGGTTATTCCCATTTCAATTATTATTTGCTTATATATATATTTTTTTTTAAAAAAAAGAGGTTTATAATTTAATTTATAATTTTCTTTTTTTTTTTTCGTTATAATTTCTTTTTTATTTTTGTGAAATTTTCGGTTTTTTTTTTTTTTTTCATTTTTCATTTTTTTTTTTTTTTGCTGTTATTTATTTAGGATAAAGGTCCTATTTTTTTGTTTTTTTTTTATTTGTGTCATTGCATCGAATTATAATATAATGAATGATCACATTGCATTAATCATTCGTTTATATATTTTTGATTCAATGAACCATTCCTGAATAAATAGCACAAAATTAAAATGTGAACTCTAAGTTCATCCCCATTACGTCAGTCAATCTTTTATCATAACGTGAGCAATACGTACATCTCTATTCCGTCATGACACGTAAAGAATTATAAACGTAACCCCTGTTATGCTGATCAGTTTTTTTTTTTTTTTTTGATGGTATAATATTAAATAATTTATAGTTAATTAAAAATAAACAAAACCAAATTATTGGTTAGAAATGGAATTGATTAGAATTACTTAACATAAAAGATAGATATAGCCAAATTGTGGAATTTTTGATTAATTTTGAAATTTGAATGAGTTGAAAAAAAAAAATGCAATACTTATTACATTTATCAAATCATTTCTTACCATACATTTTTCTCACAATAGATCTCTCTAATATATCTAATAAATAGATAAACAACTAGATAAATAGACCAGAAGATAAACAACTAGATAAATAGACCAGAAGATAAACAATTAAATAAATAGACCAGAAGATAAACAACTAAATAAATAGACCAGAAGATAAACAACTAGATAAATAGACCAGATAAATAAAAAAGACATATTCGAAATGTAAAATGGATAATTGATCATTTTCTAATTTCTGTCATATTTCCTTATTTGTCATTTTAATTAATTTCTAATTAAATCTTTTAACCAATTTACATGATTTAACCTTCCATCTAGTTTATCATATAAATCATTTTGTAACTGTAAAAAAAAGAAAAAAAAAAATGGTTCAAAATATTTCTTTCTTTTTTCTTAAAATGGATGGATTCACTTTTTTTTTCCTCTATTTAAAACAGATTATTGTAATGTCCATTAAATGGGTCATTGAATTTACTTTTTAATCTGAATTATTATCTTAACCTATGATTTAAGGAAATGAAAAGATTTGTGTTTGGCATAAGAATATATCATATTTACAATCTTTTCATTACATTCTTTCTCCTTCCTTTTCCTTTCCCTTCATTTCATTTCATTTCATTTTTTTTTTTTTTTTTTTTTTTTTTTGCTTTTGATTTTCGTCATTTTGCTCAAATAATAATGATATGAGCAAATAAATATATAATATAATATGATATATTATATAAATTTCATTTGTGAGAAAGTTTATTCCTTTAAATTTATCTTATTATTTCTCATATATCAATTGAATAATTAATTAACTAATTGCTCAGTTATTCTATTTCCAACTGAAATTTTATGCTGAATAATAGGATGCAAAAACCTGTTTTACATTTAATTTAATTTTCTCAATTTTATCTAGAATTTAATGTCTGATAAAAATGCTCACAAATTTATTATTACTTTATATTATTTAAAGTTTAAATTTTATTAAACACTTAATTTTAATAAGCTAAATTTTTGAAGCAATTAAAATATTACTACTTTTTTTCTTTCATTGAATTATTTAAATGAAACATTCATACTTTACATTTTAGAATTTCAAAATCAACATTTATTACAGGTATTTAATTTAACAAATTCATATATACATATGCTTATTCATAAAATAAATTAAAGAAATGAGTGTGATAAATCTAAATTTCTCTTCTACCAGTCTTTTTTTTTTTTTTTTTTGTATGAATGAATGGATGAATTTATCTATCAATTATCATTATTAATTTAATTAGTTTAAAAAATTTTAATTAATTTTTATAAATTAGAATAATTACTTTTCCTTTCTTTCTTTCTTTCTTCTATTTCGGAAATATTTTAATCGATTGATTGAATTATGACATTGTCACTATTATGACTGTAATTTTCATTTTACGATTAATTTTCGAACAGAGACGGCAAGAAGGAAAGCGAAAAGAGAGAGAGAGAGGGAGGGAGAGACAGAGAGAGAGAGAGAGAGAAAAGTGAAAGAGGAGTTAAAAAATAGAAATTCTTCTGAAAATGAGTGATAGCAGCAGAAGAGCTTTGACATACTTTTTTTTTTTTTTTTTTTTTAAAGTATATTGGAGTATCGAAGTATATTGCTTTTTTCTTTTTTTTTGCAAAATTACTTTACACAAAACTTTTTTTTATTTTTATTTTTACATCTTTTCATCGTATGCTAGCCATTTGTTTACGTGTTCTATACTAGTTGTTGTTGTTGTTGTTTTTTTTTTTTGACGTAATTTTTGCTTAAGTACATAGAATTAATCATTGAAGCAATTCTATTTGTGATTAATTTACCATTTTATCCTAATTTTATTTTTCTTAATTTACTGAAGCAAATAATTGTTCAAATTATCAATAATTTTATTAATTAATGAAATGAGTAAAAAATAATAATTAAAAATGAATAAATAATTAAATAAGTTAATTAATTTATTACACCTATAATATGCTCTAGAAATGATAGTTTAGATTTAGTAATGATAGGTAGAAAAGAGAAAAAACAAAATATTCTTTCGTTTTCAATTTGAAGAAAAAAAAAAAATACTATCAATTATACTTTTTTCTTTTTTATTACTCACTTACTATATAAATACGTGTTTTACGTGAAAGCACTGTATGTAAATTAATCAATGAATGCGAATATCATTTAAATTACTAATAATATTATATATTCATCAGATAATGTATTGGACGATAACAATTGAAGGTGGTCCAAAACGTGTAAATCACGCAGCAGTAGCGTTAAATGATCAAATTTATTCATTTGGTGGTTACTGTTCTGGTGAACTTTATGATGGTAGTCAGCCAGTTGATGTACACGTTTTAGATACCGGTTTGTTTGTTTGTTTTTTTTTTAAATTAAAATTTCATTTTTCTTTTTGATGAATATATTTATTCATTTATTTATTAATCTACTACATTTATTACATTATTATATTATCATATCTTTATCATATGATATTAAAAGGATATTATATTTGTTTTAAATGCATTTTTGAGTCGAAATGATATAAATTTTAATGCTATTTTCATATACACTCAAAATTCAATATATTACACAAATTTATATGTTTAATTTAAAAAATTGATTGAATTTTTCATGTATATCAAATATACGTAGTGTAATTAGTGGTATTGAATACACGTAGTAAATATACGTAATAGAGTTTAAACCTCTCGTATATATTGCCCTTTTGTGAATCTTCCTGTTTCATTGTGGCCAACGTGTTGCCGGTTAAAAGTTGATAAGTTTACCTGTGGTACTTGCTTAACCTATAATGCTTATTTCGCCGGTGCTTATTGTTTAACGTGAGATTCCCATTTAACACGTTGTTCATTATTTCATCTGAGGTTCCTTCCTATCTGATGCGTAGTTTATTATTTCACGTAAGGTGACACGTAGTTTGTCATTTCACCTAAGGTTTCTATCTGATGCCTCTATCTTTCACGTAAGATTTAATATTGATTTCGCTAATAATAATATTTTGCTTTATTTATTTCATGCATTTTGCCTGCTTGATATTTTTTGCAAGAAAAAAGAGACGAAAATAATATTAATATTATCAGGAAATTATCGTTGGCGTAAATTAACGGTACGAACGGATAATAGCGAAAGCGAAACTGCTTATCCATCGGTATCACAGAATAGTTGGCCATATCAACGATATGGTCATACAGTTGTTGAATATAATGGTAAAGCATACTTATGGGGTGGACGAAATGACGAATTTGGTGCGTGTTCCAAGATGTATTGCTTTGATCCAGGTATGGTTTTGTCTTTTTTCTTTTACTAGTTGAAGATTTGAAAGCAAAAATTATTAAAAATTCCTATCAGTTCAAAGTCAAATCTTTATAGAACAAGTTGAGATTTAGGAATAAAAGACAAAATTCCAAAAATTTTTGAAATATGAGTACTAAATCTTGACAATATTTTGCATTAGGAAATTGAATTCCTAAATTCGACTTACCAGTTTTTATTTGCCATGAGAGATTTATATCTCTCAAATTTGTGTTTGTTTTCAGTCTTTGAAAAGATTAATTTCAGAATTTCGAAATATCAGTTTTGGGAAGTTCTTATTTAACATCTCTTAATTTCTATGATACAGAGTTTTCAATTTTTTCCTAGTCTAATGCAAAATATACAGTCGTACTTGTTTTTGAGGTTATAATTTAATTTCAGAAGCGGTAACTTGGTCAGTGGTTCCTTCTGAAGGTGAAGCACCACCAGCACGTGATGGGCATAGTGCTGTGGTAGTTGATGATCTGATGTTTATGTTTGGTGGTTTTGAGGAAGATTCACAGAGGTATACTTTTCTTTATTTGATATTTGTAAGGTGTGGGTATCAAAATTCATAACTCATCATTAGGATAGTACCGAATGGTCTGCTTTTGTTTAACCACATCTCATCAGAATAAGTTAGATGATTTTAAAGTAATCGCTAGCTAGATGGTAATGAAAGCATATTACCTCTTGTATTGCCTATTAATTTATGTTTATCTTAATATTTCTGTAAAAACAGATTTATGCTTAACTGATTGAGAGCACTTTGTTTCTTTTATTTTATGTTTGTTTTGTTTCACTTTTTCGTCTTCTTCTGGTATACTGTTTTTCTTACCTTTACTTGTAATTGGTATTTTTCGTAGCCTTGACTGAATATTGGAAAATTTCGTAGAATTTGTTGATTCCAGGTTTAGTCAAGAAACTTTTGCTTATAATTTCAAACAGAGGAAATGGTATGAATTGAAAACAACGGTAAATTATTTGTTTTTCTTTAAAAGATATTAATATAATCATTATTGAAGATTCAGTTTTTATTTGTTAACATTTGCCTATTATGTTTGATTTGCAAAAATCTTATGCAGTTTTTGGAGTTATAATTTATTTGGAAAATTTATGAAATTTTTAATACCATTAGAAAAATTAAATAGTGTTAATACTTTAACTGTCGAACTTAAATGAATGACTCATGGATGATTCTGTGAATTATTTCGATTTTATATGAATTTATTTTGCTGCTTTTTTTTTTCTTTTTTTGTATTAAAACTGTTCTTGTTTGCATTCATTAGAATATTATTGCAGGGTGAATTGCCGCAGTGGCGAGATTTTCATACAGCTTGTGTCATTAATAAAAAAATGTATATATTTGGTGGACGTAGCGATTTGCATGGTGCATTTCATAGCTCCCGAGATTATTATTCTGATGTACTCAAAGTGTTGAATTTAAAAACAGGCCGTTGGGAAGATCCAAAAGTAACTGGTGATTGTCCATGTGGTCGACGAAGTCATAGTGCCTGCAAGTTTTTCTTTTTTCTTAAAATATACCGTTGACATGTGATATTAAGAACTAAGCGTGAAGTGAAATAGACTCATCCAAATTCTGTTTGCTGAAGAATTCCGGATTCGAATGTATCTCGAATTTTTATTATGTTTTTTTGAGTTGTGATAATATGTTCCAGGGGTTCGTAATAATAAGATGTATATATTTGGTGGATATTTGGGTACCGAAAATCGGCATCTAAACGAATTGCATGAATTTGATCCTGCAACATCGTGCTGGCGTCGTTTAAAACCATTCGGTACTGGTCCTTCACCGAGGCGAAGACAATGTGTGGTTGTCGTTGGTGAACGCGTTTTTTTGTTTGGTGGTACTATGTAAGTGGTACAGCTTATTTCGCTGTGATAGCTTTAGAGTAATTTCAGTTGATTAAATTTTTTTATTGCTCAAACTGGTAGATCTGGTCGACACTGATCTGTCGAATTAATTAGACTACTGTTGTCGCAGTTGTTGTCAACCATAAATTCCTCTTCCTCTTCTGTTGATTAATTTTTAAGCCAGAAATACTAATTTAAGGAAGTCACCGGATAGTCTTGTCATATGTTTAAGTTCGAATAGTCTTGTTGTTAAAAAGTACTCTGTAACTTTAGAAAAGCACTTAACCGATGTTTAATTTTTCGATGACAGTTCAGTGAATATAGCGCTGTTAGTTAACGCTAATTTTTATAAAAATATCATGTCTCAAAAAATTTCGTCATATTCGTTTCTCTTTAACTGCTAATAAAAAATATGAAAATTAGTAAAAGCCTTATTAATTTAGCTAGCTTAAGCAAAAATTTAAGCATGATGGGAAGTTTAAAATTCAATAGAAAAGAGAATTTTATGTGCAGTACTTGATAATAATACGGAATCCGTCATGTATAGCAGAAAATAATAATTTAAAATATTTTGCAATAAGTAAATTCTCCAATATGTGGTACAGTAACTCCATAAATGATGACCATTTATTCATTGCAGGCCTTCCAATTCAAAGAAAATGGATCCCGTACATAGTGGTCTTTGTGACCTCTCTGATCTTCATGTACTTGATTACGGTTCGTTCATGGTCGTGCCTTAATTTTTTTTTAATACCTAAATTTTTTGCATTCCATTTATTATAAAGATCATACCATTTCTTGTATTCTGAGGATTTTTCAATTTATAGAAAACTAATGGTTAATTCAGGTTCAGTTTGTTTCAGGACCAACTCTGAAGGATCTTGCTGCTAATGCTGTTATAAAAAATAGATTGAACGAAAGATTTTCTGATTTGATTCCAGATGATCTGAAGTAGGCTTTATTCCATTTTATTCTTAGCTTTTTCTTGAGATTAGTTAAACATATGTTCTACGTGTTTTTTTTTTCTTTTTTTTTTAAATGATTCAGTTTATAATAATGATTATCCACTGTTGAAGTGCAGTTACATAATTCAATCAGTAATTGACTACTGCACATTAGTATTTATTTTGTTTTTTTCTGTTACATACCAAAATACTTTGTACTTTATGAATGCTATAGAATGTCTGCAGTTTTTCATTCTTTCCTAACTTTTCAGGCACGACCTTCGGATGATGACACAACCAAACAAAATAACTCTTACTCGATATGATGGTTGAACGTTTCCCTCTCTACTGATTATACTTTTTGAATTTTAAATGTTTCTTATGCTTGTACTGGAGGAAATTGATGCTCTTTTAAGTCGTAATTACATTTTTTTTTTCTGATAATTGCAGAATTGAATTATTATTATTTATTATTATGTTGGAATTGAATATTAAGTGGAATTTTTATAGGAGAATGAAGAAAAATTTTAGAAGGTTTTGTTTCGAATTAAATGATAATTGATATAGACGACAAGTGCATCATTCTTTCATTTTTTTTTTTTTTTTTATTTTCTGTTCATCTTAAAGCTTTTAAAATGTTGCTAATTAATATAGTTCATTGTTACATGTCGAAATTTAGATTACACCACCACTCTTATACATCTATTGTGTTTATTCAGCTCTTTATTTAGTTTCATTGATTTAGCAAATTTGCATAACTGTTCATGACTTTTTATTGTTTTTTCCTTTCCGTTATAACTCTATATATTATTGTAATTATTATTACTGCTTTTCCTTTTAATTTTGATAATGTTGTCTATACTTGTATTAAATAATTGCACTTTATTTTTTTCACTTTAATGAAGGCGATGTAGAATTTTATGAATGTGTGAAAAGTGTATCGGTATATATGAATCGGAATTTTAGTAGCTCAATTTTTCAAATTTATCGCTCATTGTATTTTTTTAATCAGTAGGAATCAATCTTTTGAACTATTCTTCATACCTTATAAGTTATGGTAAAATCGATAAAACGATACAATAAAACGAATATGATATATCCTTGAAGTAATTACGAGAAATCAAAATAGTTGAAATTTTCCATACTTTCCTCCATTATATTTGTATTGATGATTCAGCATGTTAAACAATGGTATTTCCTGAAAATGATCTTCAAGATTAATCCGATTAAATCGTTTATTTCCAAATTTTATCCCGACATTTCACTTTTTCTTTTCTTGAATATTTTCCATCAAATATTTTTTTCCCCAACTAAATTTTAGTGTTATTCAATCTCTTTTTTTTTTTTTTTCATTTACATTAGCAGGCAGGTAAAGTACCTGTGTAAAAGATTTGTTTGACTCGAACTTCTCTATCGAATGAATATTTTACTTTCGAAGGATTATTTTAATACCATGATTGCAATTTTATTAGTGATATTACAGTAAATATATAAATTCTGTGATACATTCATATTTTATTAGGAGTTTCTTTCATTATTTTTAGCAAATTTTTTTTTTCTCTGAATGAGTGGTGAAATGGTTCCGAATCTCACTCTAAATTAAACTTATTTCTTGGTATTATTTTATGAATTTTCTATGCGAAATATACGAAAAGTTATATAACAAATAGTGCGCACAAGTTTATTGCATTTTAGGCTTGTGTTTTTTTTTTTTTGGTGCTTAAATGTAAATATTAGTTGACGTATTTAAACGTTTTGCAACTTTTTTTCATTTCAAAACTAGAAATTATCAATTTCTCTCGATGCTTCAGTAACACTTGATAAAAAAAAAAAAAAAAAAAAATCAAATCAAAATCTTTTATTCCTCAATTCTTTTTATAAAATAAAGATAAGTTGATAATGATACTCTTCAACTTCTGAACCTAGTTTAATTAATACTACTGTGTATGATTAATCTTCAAAGTTAATCATTTGACCAACTTAACGCAGTGTCACGGTTATTGTAATAGTGACAATAGCAGTAGAAGTAGCATTAGTAATAATAAATCTCAAAAAAAAAAAAAAAAAATTATTTAGTGGTGATAGTGTTTTCTTCCGCCAATGGAAGATTTATTTATTCGTCGTGATAACAATATCAATGTCTATATTTTAATTCCAGACTTACTTTTGTTTTTTCTTTTTTCTGCATTCATGCTAAAATCATAGTGTCTTGATTATCATAGTGCTATATATTGTTAATTTACTTTTTTATTTTTTACGTATTAATAAGATGTTTTGATCATATTTTCATTACCATTAATTAATGCTACATAGCAGTCCAGAAAAAATCATTTGAAATTAGGAATAATTATCATTTTTTTATGAAAATAATAGATTTTCTAAAATTAATGCAAAAATTTAGTTTTTTTAAACCTTTTCTTCTTTTTTTTTTGCATATTTTTGTAAATGCAAAAAATAAAGATAACTTGTAATGAATGAAAGAAAAGCAAAAAAAGTTTGAAATTTTTAACTTCCATTTATACATCATAGCATCATCTTATGTGATTCAGTTAATAAATACACGACATAGTTACAGTTAACTTTTCATAAATTTAAAAATAGAAAATAAAAATAGAAGAATTTAGGGATGGGGAGATCCATTTGTTAATTGAATCAGTATAATTAAATATATGAATATATTTATATTTCAATGAACTTTTTATAATCCTTGACCATTTTTCCTTGTTCCTTTTTTCCGAAACTATAATAAGACTATTAAATTAACAAATAATTATGTTACCGAGAATCGAGACTATACTGTTTATATTCTATCATTTTTATTCATTTCTTCATACATACATGCTTTTTTTCTTTCTTTAATACATTTACACTACTAATTAAATTTTTAAAAGATCTATTTGAGAAAAAAAAAAAAAGAAATGCTCATATTTTGAGTCAATTTAAAAATTTTTTCTTTTCAAAAAATTTTTCTTTCGAATCTTAATTAAGATAATTTTTTTTTTCAGTCAAAAAAAAATTTATATAATTAACATCATATTAAAATTTGTGCTACTTTTCATAGTTGATATATGTTATATAGTTTGCACAATTTACTTCATCATTAATTACAATTTATTACGAGTCTAATTAATTACTATTTATTACGATTTACTTATTATGATTTATGTTATAAATTAACAGAATAATCAATTTAATTCTAATTGATTAAATCCTCATAGTTTACTCATTACTAATAATCCATTTCATTCATTTGGTATGATTTCGCTTCAATTCATTGTAAATTATTTTGTGAAATGAAAAAGTTATTGTGATTATTTTTCAGTTTGTCTTATAAATTTTATGCTAAATCTTTTTTCATAAAATTTCAGTGTATTAATAACGCTACTTGATTTCCTCATTTCTTAAATCTTTTTTTGATAAATTGCTCATTAAATTATTCTAGGAGATTAACGGAATGAACTTTTCTATCTAATTAACTATGCATTTCATTTTTTTTTCTCTTTTGATAGTAAGCTGATCGTCATCTTTAAAACCTGATTAAAATTGACCGGAACAAAAACTTCGTCTGTTTTCTTCATTTTACTCACTGAAACATATTTTCGTTTACACTTACTGTTCCGTGACAATATTTTAAAAGTTATTGAATTTATCAGTTTTATAGCCTATATATTTTTTTTTTCCCTATCGATTGTCTAGCGTTTATTTCAAGGAAAAGTGAGCAATTTGAGAGGAGAAAAGGATTTAATTTTTTTTTCTTGAAGAAAAAATATTTTTAAGTCATTCAACTAAAAATCCTGACATAGACTTAAATAAGCAAATTGACTTTTTGGTTTACGAAAAATTTCCATTTCTTTATTTCTTTAAATATGCAAATCCGGAAGAAAAATTAATTTCTATATTTTTTCATATTTCATCCTTCTTCCCCATTCCGCCATCAATATACAATTATTATTCTTAAAACTTCTTTTAAACCTCGAATTCTTTTATGCTTGTCATAAAACGAAGTAGATTTTGAAATTAAAATCCGTTGTAGACGTTTTTGTTTTCTCGAACAACCATTATGTATAAGGCAATTTTTTTCTACTATCAGAGTTAATATAAATAAGTAAATTGTTAGTGAAAAATAGCCTTGACTAGAAATTGTCTTTAGAAGTGTATTGAATTTGTTGTATATTGATTTATTTACCATTTTATAGATTATTTTTTTATAACTGTAGTAAAATATCCGTTGTAGACGTTATGTTTTCTCGAACAATCTTTATGTATAAATGTTGCCATGGCAAAATATCACAATTGTCAATTTGAATTTTGATTGTATGTTTCTTTTTGTTTTTTGATGATTAAGCAGTAGAAAATATTCGTTATTTTATTAATCAATTAAACATTAGTTATTTAAATTAAATAGCAAAGTAGTCGAAAAGTAAGGAATTTGGGCTTGTTTTAATTTCGAAATTTTATATATGTCAAATTTTCATTTGTAGAACAAAAATTTCTTATAGAACTAAATGCGCAAATTGTTTTGTATTATTTAAATTTGCTTATCATAAATTCCTTCACAAATTCCTTCATTCTTTTCTTCCCGTTTTACCGAAAGACTTAGAAGCAAGTTTCTTGAGAACTTTTTTTTTTTTTTTTTAAGAAGAAATCTTCTTATGCTTAATTGCATCTCTTACATTAACGAATCTGGAGATTAGATAAATATTTTTGAAATTAATATTTATGATATTTATAATTATCTAACTGTTGTACTCTTGCTGATAACGTTATCTACATATTAGATATTCAAGGTTAATTGCATAATTAGCACTATTTTCGTCTTATGATTGAACTATTGATATGTTTTATCATCTGTTATGTAATATTATTCGGACTTTGTTAGTTATATGAATCATAATAACCTTGATTTTATAAATGTCGGAATTTGTTTAATCATTTTCAGGATGTAGTATTGAAAAGATAAATTATGCTGAAGTGATGAGCATCTTATTGTACTTATCACTGGCAACAGTGATCTCGTCATCCTATGTTGGACTTCTCTATGCATTTGATTTTTATGGCGTTGATCGAGATGATCCACATAGTATTAAAAGACGTTTGCTTGGTGCTGTTCTAAATAATATTATCAGTATTGCATGCACATATGCTGTATTATGCAAGGTAATAAGCATTAATTTCACATTTATCTTTTTTTTTTTTTCAATCGCTCTTAAATAAATTTTTTTTTTTTGTTTAATAATTTATCTTCCTGTTTGATACAATAACAAAACTTATCATGCAATATTACTTAGATTCTACTATAAAACAAGCTCGTGAAAAACAACAAAGAAAACAAG